GCTATTTATTATAAATGCCTATATGCTCAATGACAAATCTTGCACAATAAAAATAGATATATATATATATATATATATATATATACCATATAACTATTGAACAAAAAACTACTGTTAAGAGAGAAAAACACAGAAAACTATAAAGCAAGCTGTTATTGTGTATCTTTTTTAAATATTGCACTAAAATATACTACTAAAAACCTCGTCAGAGGAAAGAAACTATAATAGTTGCTAAATTGCAAACCTTTAATTGCATACGACTCTGCTATAATACGTAAACTTCGACATGGTAATTGCTTTTCTGTGAGTGTATCTAGTTCAGCTTGTTGATAATGATGAAGCGCATCCTCGTACATCCCCATCGCATAATGAAGTTTTCCAAGTAACAGATGAGCATCCAGCACAACTAAAGCCTGAAAAATATTACTAGTTAATATATAAATAAATTTTATAGTAGATATGACTGATTTCTAAATATTGATTTTTATCAAATGTTATTTTTCTATGGTGTTGCATACCTGCTTATCTTTTTCATTAGCCGCCAGCAACAGGTATTTACGTGTTTCTGTCAATCCATTCCGTGCTTTGGCAATATTGGCGTCTATTGGTGGAGTTTGTTCCAGAAAACTCTCCAATCTTCCTTCTCCGCATAAGAAATTTGCGAGGCATTCTGTTGTATAAAAAGTGAAATCGATATAAAGTTCTCCCTATATTTACATATAAACTTTATAGGCGAATAACATTTATGGAATATTTAATATTCTTTAAAAAAATATTCGATGTTATTCATTAATATTATTGTGATATAAAAATGAGATATGTATTATATAAATGTCATTTTCTTCTCGTGGCTGGCACGCAGAATATCAATTATGAAAGAAAGAAAAAAAAACGACATGCATGATGGAAATATAAAACATCGTGAGAAATAAAACATCGGGGATATGCGTATACAATTAAACAGAACGAGCGTGACATTTCATTCACGCAGACTCTACGATTATCCTTGATCTTTACGTGACGTGACATCTTTTTCTTTTTCTGTCCATCTCTCTCATTTAGAGAGAGCGTGCGTCCCGGAAACAACGGGACGTCTTTAAAGCATGATTGGGAATGCAACCGTGTGGGAGAGACGACCGCGATCGGACAGCGGAATCACGGCCGAGGAAGGGCAGAGGGTCAGCGGAGGTGGGAGGGGAGAAAAGAAAGAGACACTTTTACCGTTGCTTGGGTACTGCACTTTTAGATGTTCCGCAAGCTCTATAACCTTCTTCCAATTGCCGTCCTCGCGATTCCGATCGATCTCGGACTCGATGCGGAGGGTGTGACTCTTCTTGCTCGTCATCGCGATCCACACACGTCGGTCCGAGTCACCTGGCGGTCCAGACCTCAATCGGTGCCGGGCAGCAGCGGCAGCGGCGGCAGCAACAACGTGAACGCGGCGATGTATCGATCATCAGTGACACTTCCTCGCGCGGAATCAACGCGGCCGGTCATGGCAGTCCAGCGGCGAGGAATCCGTTTGCTCCGAACGTGAACGGGAAACGCACAACCACCCACGGACACGTGCGCGTGGCAAACTGTCACGAACGTCACGAGACCCCGCGCCCCGTTCCCCGCTCGCACGACCATTCCAGATATGCATTTGCATATTCGCGTGATATTCGTGCACCCCGATCAACAGCAGCCAATCGCTGTTCGTTTATGCGACGTAATGTGCGATGCACGTGATGTTTCTCTATTCCAGACTCGTAATTGGCTGTCTCTCCGCGAATACGCTCCGCGCGAGTTCCACGTTCCGTGACTCTGCGTCGGTATATATGCCTCTGACGTATACAGGGCCGTGCGATCATTCCGTCGTGTTCTTGATTGCTGCTCCAATATCGAATATGAAAATAACGCCTTATCATAAGCAATAATGCAGTCATTTTCTCATTTTCACGAATTTTAACTTATGTTTTTCTATTATATTTTGTCGAACACCGGAACCAATTTAATGTTGTCTTATTTAGAAATGTTTAGAAAATTCTTAAAAAATTTGTCTTACGTCATATGTTCATAGTACATGTATTCCTATTGTGAAATTTTAGGCCTATTCTTTTTAACTAAATTTCTTACACGATTCATCTTTTTTCTTTTTTATTGAAAAAAAGACAAAAAAAAATGAACCATATAAGAAGTTCTAAACAGCTAAACAGGCCTTTCATTGACAGTAACCAACATGATCCGTATTTTTTCGTGAAGTAAAGCTGGTGAAAACATAGAAAAAGTACTATTTTAGCAATAAGAGGAAATCAAGTTAAAAATTATTGAAAACAATAAAATTATCACTTTAAAATTCTCTCTCGGCTATGATTGGTCAGTTTGTTTATTGCTTAAGTTTTACTGCTTATTTTTCTCTATGTTACTAGTTTAAATCTACTATATTGTAGTGAGAGTTTGTATTGTAGTGAGAAATTTAAATAGAAAAATAGTAATGTTCTATTATACGTAATAATCACTTTCATTTTCATAAATTTTTATTTCTGATATTACATCGTTGTATATCATATGTGATATGTACAATATATTACAAATATATAAAAAAATGTATATGAGAGAATATTACCTTTTTACAAATATATCTTTTTTTACAAACCTTTTTTTACAAATATTACGGACTTTCCTCAGCTAATATATCAAATAATTTTCTATAACGTTCCTTCCATTTTGCTCGTATATCAACTATATTATGCTATATGAAAAGATCAAAGATATATACAATATTACTACTTAAAAATTTTTTAAATCGGATACACATCAAGTGTTACCTGCAGTATATGTACACCTCGTTGCGTAAGTACAATCAGTTCTTTTATTCCATCATTTGTTATATCCATGTAGCTTATGGAATGTACAGGGGCGTCAAACAGTTTTCTAGCGGCTAACTCCCACGTGTCGTTTATTAATGCGAAGATCAGGACTTCCTGACCGTAAGTGCCAAGCAGAATCTCGTTTTGGCCGTCCATATTTATATCCGCTACGCAGCAGCATAGAATACAATCCGATGATTCGCTACCGTTCAATATCACATCCTGTTTCATTCCATGTTCCAAGATATCTCTGATAAAAAACGAATACTTGCATTTTAATCGTCATAAAATTTTCAGATACTTATTAAGTTAAATTAAAATTTACTTGAAAACAACAGCACTGCTTGTATTTGAAATAATGATATTTAATTTCGGAACGTCATCCTTCGGAACACATGTCTCAGCTGAAATTTTTTTTATTGTTATTTTAGACTATGCATCAATGTGTACAAATAATATAATAATAATACATTTTAAAATATTTACAATTGGCGTTTATGAATGCTGGTTTACTAATGATGTTTCTATGTGGGAATATTATGACACTTGGCACAGGCTTGTCATATCTCAGCAGCCAACTTCGAGAAACTTGTAAGTTCGTTACATTTACTATGGCAACTTTGACTATACCGCACTCACAGCCGACGGCGGTGACTCTCCTAAGTTTGCATGTATAAAATTATATCCAAAATCAAGATGAAGCAACAGAAGATAATTATCTTTCATTGTACAAACCGCTTATAGTTATCATAATAATAAATATTAATCCATAATGCAATTGCTTGGACATCATGCAGCTCTGGAAAATATTTTTCGATGGAGGCTTCGCTGTAAACGTGGCTTAATTTATCTTCTCTTATCATATGAATCTTGTAATCACTTCCAGATATCAGCCAAACTACCTGCAAATTTTAAATTGTTAGATGTGACAGAGACTATGATAATATATCATAATTATAATATATATTTCATTGAAAAGAATGCATCTGCTATTTCTAATATACCTCCTGTACAGAATTCTGTTGTGGTAAAATGGTATGATACAGATGATAAGGAGTATATGACAGTTCCACCATGAGACAATTTTGAGCTATAGCTTCGATCGAGCTACCTTCATCCCCTTCACCATCTATCGCACCTTCTGTATATATATTCAAGTACCTTTCAATCGCATCTGTGCTCGTCTTCATGATTGTTATACCTATCACAAAACTGTCTCCAGTGTCAGACTTGTTGTAAGCATCAATAGAAATAATTTCTGCACCACCTAAGGCAGATTAAAAAAAAACAATTTTTTTTACACAGGATATTAATTAAAAGTTGCGGAAAAAGATATTCTAGAATATATAATATAGAATAGTTTACATACTAGGAATATATGTAAACAGTAATTCCTTCACCATAGGTCTCAGAAATTCTGGTGTTTGATGATATTCGCAAGAGTATATCTTTCTTTTCAAAGAAGCCACTAACAGCTTGTTGGAAATATTAGATGAGCAGAGTTTGGTCATCGAATAAATGTTCCCCTGTGACGCCAGGGGAAACCAGTGCGCATCTATAAGATTGCTCATCATTGCAAGTTGCTAGGAAGACTGAAGCTAAGTTGAAATAAATATACAGAATGACAATTGTATCCTGTAGCGTCTTAAGTAGAATGAATGTGTATTCTGTTTTTTTCAAAATTTTTGACTCGTGTTTGCGCTTGATCTGTTTGCCTCATTTTGTATTATATTGTGTATTGGCTGATTTTGGAGCTTGGCCTTTATTGATTTAATGAATGATTAAGACTAATTAAGAGAGAAAAGAAAGAAGATACAAGCGCTCTTCAGAAAAAGACAGCGACATTCGTAGAAAAAGTAAAAAAAAAACAGATAAACTATCGCAAGCTCATACCGAATAGAGGTTATATTTATTACAATCCACCATCGTTTGCCGGCACGTTGAAAATCTCTGTTACATCTAACAATTCTCGCTCTTATATATGTCGATCTAACATCGATTCGACATCAGTCTCTCTTCGTCTCTGCAACTTCGATCTTCATCGGTCATCCTCCCCGATATTCCCAGATTACTCTTACCACCCGCCAAGAAAAATGCGAGTACATTTGCGCGTCGAACAACGAGCACGTCATGACACGATGACACCGCGAGGAAAGCCGAGAAGGAAAAGAGAAGGAGAAAAAGAAATCATGCCTTCTTCTTATTCGGCAGCGTAATGCCGCGTGCGCGGCGTTTTCGCAACCGCTTTCGTAATCCCCGTTGCCTTGAGGGAGCCGCGGACGATGACGCGATTCGTGAAAGTGGGTGTGCCCGTCGCGACGACGGCGTCGGCTCAGTCTGCTCCAATCTACTCACACAGATCGGATCGGCCGTGTCTGTCAGCGCGTTCCTTGTCCTGTCGATTCAGTCCGAACTTTTCCACCGACGGAAGAAACACCGGTAAGCGAAGCGACTGAAGAAAAGTGTTTCCCGGCTCGTCCTTATTCCTTCGGTGACGTATCTGTTTTTCTCCCCTTCTCGCGTTCTCGTCTGTGCCGGAGTCGCCGGGTACGCGATTTCGATGGATTTGGATCGAACTTCGGTTGAATCTATATTCAACTACTGTCCATTTCTGGCATGAGATAAATCAATTTCAATCCCATACAGTACAGATCTCTTTAGGAATGTTCAGAGGATATCCTATGGATAAGAGAATGTCCGAGCATCCCTCGAATAAAGTGTGCTGTATCGATAAATGTGGTCTCGACAAATGTGCAGTATAAATTAAAAAGGAAAAGAAAACGGAACTTAAGCAACAATTTTTCTTCTCAGAATATTTTTATACATGAAAATATACAAATTTATAAAATTACAGAAAAATCTGAAAAGAAGAAGAGCATTATGCTGCATATTTACCTTCATCTCTGTTTACTCGTCATTTTTTCCGATTATCTTTGTCGTCATCTTTCTCAGAATTAAAAAAGGATAAAGTGAGTTAAATCAAGATTAAAGTTCATCTTTGTAGAAATAAGTATATGCATCGAGAGTTGCAAATTGAAAATTAGAATTCAATCAATTTGAATTGAAATCGAGGTTATCTGATTGGTGAAATTTTAATCTTTAATTCGAAATCCTCAATTTCAATTCGTGATCTAATGTTCGTTTTGTATCAATCTAAATTAATTTACTTTTTATCTTTTTTTAATTATAAGGAATTAGAAAAAGATAAAGTAAATTAGATTGAGATTAAAATCAATCTATATTGGTAGAAATAGACATAATTTTTTAATCAATTCAAAACTGGTAAAGTATTGACTGAAGCAAATTTCCGTGTGCGTAATTCGCAGTTTCTACTCTTTTTCTCACATGTGTTAAATAATTACCTTTTTTTATCCATGCTAAACTGAAACGCTAATTAAATTAGCATAAACGTAATATATATATATATATATATATAGAAACAAATGTTTAACCTAAGGACGTATTCCAAAACATACTGACAATCTAAAAAATCTACAGCGCATGTCGTGTGATCGACAGATTTCCAGAATAGTGACTTTCAAAACATATTTTGAATAATACAAGCATCATCAAAGTAAGTTAATTCCCAGTTAAGTTTTTAATCGAAATCGAGTTGGCCGAGGTCGCACGATCGGAAGTCTCGTCACGGCGATCTCGCCGATTCACGTGATACGTCAACAAAAGAAACTGCCGAGTGAAACGTCAAAAAATAACTACCGAGTCCGCAGAGCGAGATGACGCATTCGCGCCTATTCATCGCTGGTTCTGTTTCGCAGGTAGCCCTGCGGAATTTCCTGCCGACCGTCACCGGAGAGAAAAAAGGTCAAGATGTCGCAGCAGCAATATTATCCGTTCAAGGTACTCCAACTTCTGTTTCTACCGCAAAAGTTGTCGATCGACGAGATCGTCATTGTTGCGACGTGATAATCGGCAGCGTCGTGATCTATTTATGCGCCGGATGGCATCGATCATCCGTATTTTTAACGCGGTAGCCTGATTTCCAAGTTGATGCACGTATGACTAATCGTCGACACGAAGTCACGACAAGCTCCTCCATGAATCTCCTCTATGCATTTCTGTACCGATGTACATTAATTTCGGTTTCATTTGCAACACTTCCTTATCTCTTTTTAGTTCTGAGAATTAAAAGGAGATAAGGCACAAATTAAAGTTAAATTAAAGTTAATCTACATTGGATACACGTCGTACCGCCGATTATCAGAGTCTTACGTAAAGACTTGGAAAAATATAAATGTTTATTAATCAATATCAAAGTTGTTTCGAAATTTTTTTTCTTCTGTTAAGTTTGTATATCGATTTTTTGAGTGACGCTCGGATTATAATCTCGATTTTGGATAAGTTTTTTTTTTTTATAGATACAAATAATATATAAATATATAAATTAGTTATAAATGTGTGAATGTATAGTAATTTATAAATATAAGTATTTGACAAAATGACTTTTATCAAACTTCATTTACGTTTACGTTTGTTAATAATTGAGTAGAGTAATCAATTTTTTATTTAACACAAAGAAGAAAACATTAAATTAGAGACGATTATTACATAATACGACAATATTATATATAAGCTAAAAATTTTGTTTTAAGCAAGTGTGTGTAATTTTTCGTCGAATTATTTAAAGTTTGATAGTGAGATATATCGGAGATATATATAGATTTGTTCAATGTGTACTCACTCTATTGAAGATTTCACAAAGTTTAATTGTTATAACAAATTCGTTGCATGTTCCAGTGTACTCCGACTGTGTATCCCGCCGAGCCGTTCGATGCGAACGCGGATGCCACAATCCTGCGTAAGGCGATGAAAGGATTCGGCACGGACGAAAAGGCGATCATCGATGTGCTTACAAAGAGAGGCATTGTACAAAGATTAGAGATCGCGGAGGCGTTCAAGACTATGTACGGAAAAGATCTGATCAGCGATTTGAAGAGCGAATTAACTGGAAAACTGGAGGATGTCATTGTTGCCCTTATGACTCCGTTACCACATTATTATGCCAAGGAGCTGCACGACGCAGTGAGTGGTATGGGTACCGACGAGGAGGCAATTGTCGAGATTCTGTGCACTCTCAGCAATTACGGTATCCGTACGATTGCCACATTTTATGAAAATTGTAAGATTCTTCTTATCTCAAATTATTACAATTTGTATGCAGCAATTTTCATAATTAATTGAGAAATATATTATTTTGGTTAGTGTATGGCAAAACACTTGAGAGTGATCTAAAGGGTGATACCTCGGGTCATTTCAAGAGATTGCTGGTATCCCTCGTGCAAGGAAATAGAGATGAAAATCAGGGTATCGATCATGCCCAAGCGGTTGCCGATGCCCAAGCGTTATATGAAGCAGGTACGTCATAAAACTTTTCTATTAAGTTAGCTAAGGTGATATTTTCTGCAATACGAATTTCTTGTGAGGGAAAAGAATTAATAATCGATATTAATTTGATTATCTATTTATTAAAGGGGAAAATTCATAGTTCTGGTTTTGGGCCATTTCAAGTCCATTAAAAATAACGAAGCTGGCGGCAAAAGCAATTGTTTTAGAATTTATATAAATTCAGAAATAAATATTGTTATAAGTGCCGAAATCTTGCCTTATTGTGAAGGCGCTTAATACTTATATTTCTATTTTTCCACTAAGCTTTTTTAGAAAATTTTATTAATCTATTAATTGAAAATTTTTAATATTTTGCCGATTCTAATATATTTTACATTGCAATATTCTATTCTTAATTTAAAATTTTTTTACATGTAGGTGAAAAACAATGGGGAACAGACGAATCTCAATTTAATGCGATCTTGGTGTCCCGCAGCTATCAGCAGCTTCGACAAACATTTATCGAGTATGAGAAAATATCGGGGCACGATATAGAGGTTGCCATAAAAAAAGAATTTTCTGGCAACCTCGAGAAAGGCTTGCTTGGAATAGGTGAGTAAAACTATTAAGATATAAGTGCATTAATTATGTATCTATTCGGACTGTCATGATTAACATTCATATTTATGAAATCACTTACAGTTACTAATTTGATAATGTGACTAGCTCTTGTACTTTTTACAAATAAGCACGCGTTGTCTCGGGAATGATTACGATTGTATGATCAAGACAAACTTGTTCGATATACATATTTAGTTTGCTTAGGCTTAGGAGAATAATTGTGCGTTTCAGTGTGAAACATGAGCAAGTGGTTGAAATAGCAGATCGATACGAGGAAATTATAAGTCTTTGAATGCAACGGAATAACAAAAATCCTGATAGTGTAGTATGATATCACAAGTCGAATTTTCCGTGATGACCTGCATTTATGCTTTCTGTGAACTTTTGTAAAACGATCAAAAAATATTTTCACAGAGGCAAGTTACCGCAGATTTAAGATTTTACATAGCTTTTACCCATTTGTAGAATTATTAATACGATTGTTGCTAATTGCCCGATAGTTTTTAGAATTGGATATTTTCAGACACGACCACACATTATACCTGACAACATTTATAATTAATAGCGAAGTATATAAGCATACTCTATTTTTTTTATATTACCCTCTGTTCTCCTCTAATGTGCCATAATCTAATATTTCTTGTCTTTTTCTAAGAGTAATATATACGATATTTTTAAGTTTTATATAAAAAATAATATCTTTTTACATATAATGATTATTAAAGAAACATAACCCGAGTTGATCCATAAAATGCATGAAAATGAATATGTGGATATTTAAACCTTATAAATATAAATATATTCCGACAATGTTGCATGGCAACTGTTACATGTAACATACAAAACATCAATATTACATTTGTATACCTTATACACATATGTAGTACCTACATATAAAACTCAGATTGAGTGTAGTATAACTTTGTAGCATGGAAAGAGAATGCTCCAATGTCAATTTACTCATGTCATTTCTTCTATATTTTTTTATCAACATTTATAATTAATACATGTAATTATAAAATATCTTAATTTTTGATCGACAGTGAAATGCGTGAAGTCCAAAGTTGGATTCTTCGCTGAGCGTTTGTATGCCAGTATGCACGGCATAGGTACAAAAGATCGAACGCTAATCCGTATCATTGTATCTCGAAGTGAAATCGATTTGGGAGATATTAAAAAGGCATTCGAGGAGCGCTATGGAAAATCATTGGAGAGCTGGATAGCTGTATGTATTCTAAATTATTTAGTTTCGAAAAAGTTCGTTACATCATCTAATTAAATTATATTATTTCTTGATTGCAATGAATAACTAATGAGTATATACATATTTACAGGGAGATACTTCGGGAGATTATAAAAAGGCACTTCTTTCTCTGATTTCAACATAATTTTGAAGATTTTAAAAACATGTGCACACTTGCCCTATTAAGATACATATAATTTACAAAACCTAACTTTATACATGTGTATATGGATTCCAGTTTAATATTGCTTAGTGTACTAATGAGATATTAGAAAAGATACCTTGCTGCATTTTTAAATATTTTTTTGTAATATTTTTTTTGAAGACTTTATTATATTAACGTAAGCCAATAAAATTTTTCAATGTTCCACGTTTCAATCTTGTTCATATATACAAATTATATATTTAATTAAATTATATTTTATATATTCTTTTATCAAATATACATAAAAAATCTCATAATTTAAAAGGAGAAATTATAAAAAGATTGATGAAAATAAAATTAAATATATTCTATATAATTTATGTATTTTTTTCCTTGTCTTTATACATATAAATAAAAAAATTAATTCTACATTTATTGCTTGTTCATATTAAGTGTCATAAGATGTTTTATTTTGTAACATTTTATGTGATCCATCTCATATATATGTATATATACATAATATTTGTAAATATAACGATTTATAAATTAAAAGATAAATTAAAAGATTTAACATACTATCATATACTCGCCTATACTTGTCAAATAAGAAGAAATAATTTATTCATTATTAATTCTATATGCACAATTAAAATGATAAATATATATAATCAAATGTTCATATTGCAAATCAATATCATAAAAGGAAATTCTTGATTATTCTTATTTGTCTACGATCACATAAGAACATACAAGACAGCTTTATTTTATATTTGTGATTAAAATTTATGATTAAAATAATTTCAAGACAGTTCATAGATAGAAACATTGCTTGATTCTAGCAAGTTTATAATTGCACATTTAAGAATATTTTAAATATATCAAAAAAGTTTTAATTACTTTGTACTTATCTCAATTGCACATGTACATTTTTACTCTCTATTCTGTAATGCTTTTCCTTCTAATGCTACTTTCCCATTATTTTATATAAATTTGATCATGCAGAATGAAAATATATATTTTATTAGAGATTATTCATATATATTCAATGTAAATTTGTCAATGCATGAATGTAATAAAGTAGAAGAAAAATTAAAAACTTAAAATTAAAAATAAAGATAGCTAAAAAATATAGAGATTCCGTAAAATAAACAGTCATTTGAAGAACGAATCTCAAAACAGAAACTTTAAAATAAGAAGAAAATTATATTGCGTTTTCTCTTTTACGTTTTACTTGCTTTGAAGCCGAGTACTTCTTCGAACAGTTATAGCAACTAAAAATGAAAAAAGATAGATTAAATATTTAAACATATAAAATTAGTATAACAAAAATAGAGTAGAACCTTTATTATCCGAGATAGAATAAACGAAAGGATGCGTTTGGTCAATCAAGTCCGTGGATATTATAGAAAATCTTTTTACACATACTTGAAATTTCATATGCATTTATTTAAAAAAAAATTATACAAAAATACGGATTAAATTTATATTAAATTATAATTATAAGAATGTGGATAAAATTCATGTTAATAGATAATGTATAATTAAAAAGAATTTCATAATAAACAAACTATATGTCGACAGTAGAGTAGCAGCAAATTCTAACAGAAAAATTACAGCAAATTCATATTTTTCGAAGATAGATTCTATTTTGCTTGATTAATTTTGTTATATTTGTAATATTTTGTCAACAATATTAAATCCATAGCCTTTTGTTGATAAAATAGATACTTTATAACATTTGTTTTTGATATTTTTTCAATTTTTCTTTTTATGCAAAATTCAGAATTAAATTCATGAATTTTATTACTTCTTTTCATGTCTCTTTAATCATTTATCTGTACCTTGCAATATCACTTATAGTTTTAATTTTTAATTTTTTATAATAATAAGTTTTAATAATATATATATTTTATAATAATATATTTATACAATAAAGAGTAAAAATACTGAAATAATTTTGTTTCAATAAAGAAGAAAAGAAAACATATTATGTTAAAACTACATAATAAAAAATTCTCTAAAAATCATACCATCTTTATCTTCATTCTTAATTTCCTGTTATAATAAAATGTACAAATATTATTAACAAATATTATTAATTCGACATATAGTAAGAAATAGTAGAACTCGGATATATTGGTCCTACTGTATTTCAATTTGCCACGATTTGCTACAATTTAAATATATGAACATACATCAATATTAAATATATCAATGTTTTTCGATTGATATATTTAAGACTAAGATATCTAAAAATTATGAACCTTTACTAAGAGCATTGCCAGTATTTTTCTTTGAACCCTTTAACTTTTTAGGCCGAACTAAGACTTCTTTGTTCTTATATGGATAAAACATTGCAGGCATTCTGTTAAAACATATAATCGCTGGTGTTGTCAACATATTGTCTAAGGGTGGCCATGGTGTTTTGCTTATTGTTTCAAACTTCGCATTGTAAATTGTATGTAAATCGAAGATATTTTTTCTAAAAAATATTTCCAAATATACATTTCTTCATTAACGAATCTTTGTGTATTTGTTCATGTATTCTTCTGTTAAATTAAAAATGTTGAAATTAGTTATATTCATTATATTTACCCATATTCGCTGACTTGTTTATAAATACTAGCAAACGGTCCATTGCGTGGGACATGTCGCATAATATATTGGCCAGGAGTCAAAGATGATAATTGTTCAATCATATTATACAGAACACCTAGAGAATCTTCTGCTTTGATTTTAAAAAGTCTTTTTATCTCACTGGTTAGCGATGTTATTGTAAGTTTTTCTATTTGTATTACTTCGTTATTATCCGCTGCTATTCTAACTGTGATGATATAAAAGATATTTAGGATTTTAATATAATCATATCATAGAATCAGGACTATAGACCATCAGGACATAATATAATTGTTATAAGTTATTATTATAAAAAAATACCTCTAGCTAACGATGTTTCCGGTCTAAATTTTAATGACGCCCATTGATGCAAGCCTTCCTCCAATGTTATAGCTTCTGCTCCAAATCCTAATTGATGTTCAATCTTTGGCGCTAATATTAAAGATTGCTTTTCTCCGCTTGGTAAGGTCTATCAAAAATAAATTTCTTGTAATACGATATCGATTATTAAGAAGAACAGTATGAAAAATATTCCTACCTCAATGCCATCGATTTTTGTACGAACCAACATTTTATAGTCTTTCATGTTATGCTTTACTTTTTGATTTAAAGATTCCGGTCCTATCGTGAAAAGTTTATATGATACATTTTGTTGCATATCTGTTTCAGAATCAGTCTTATCAATCTTATCATCATTTGCTGAATTATCCGATTTTTCCGATTTATCTGTATCTGATAAATATAAATCTTCTTCATAAAGTTTAAGATGACTATTACTATCGTCACTATCCGAGTCAGAATGATCTACATTTTTTTTGGATTGATTTTTTTTAAATTTTTCCGTTCTAAAATATTAATTAATATGTCAAAAAGAGAAAATTCAATTTTTATATATGATATGAATACTTTCTGTTTTACTCTTTTAACGACTCACGTTTCAGATATTTCCTCTTTACCATCAACGAAATGATATTTAAGACTATATTTATATGTATAAAAATTCTTCTGTGATATAGTGGCGGACATAGGTGGTAACTTTTTATCGATATAAACAACGTTTTTTCCATGATGCAATTTCACGACTACTGGTATAATCCACGAGTTCGAATGATCTGAATCTAAGTTACTCAGCAGACACTTGATACCACTAGATGAGATAATCAAATCCACTCCAGCTTCTATCGCGAGACTTTCGCAATATGTATCTTCGCTCACGGGTAATCTGAAATGTTGCATCACTTTCTCAAATTCCACATATGGCTTATATCTTTGGAGCAATGGAATATTCATAAATAATGTATATTTTCGATCGAGTTTTGGAAGTATTACATTCGAAAAAGAACCCTAAAATTATAAACAATTAAATATACATATTTAAATTGAATATGCCTGATAAATATCGATCAGTGTGTTGCACGCGCGCACGAAAAAACTTACTTGCCGTAAACAAGATATAAATTTTATTTTAATATCTTTATTTTTATCGTTATCTTTCTGTAAGGAAAGTGGTATATTTATGGATTCAATATAATATCTAGGTAATTTTTGAAATCTTATCATTTTTGCCTTCCATTTTTTTATCACAAATTCTGGACACTTGCTAAACCACTTAAAAGTATCATCCCACTGGCTCTTTGCAAATTCTAAATATTCCTTCTGTTCATCTTCTATCATTTTTTGCAATGTCTGAAAAAAGTTAATCTGAACTTTAATACACAAATTATAAATATATCAGATGCTTATAAATAAAATTTAAACCATATATTTTCCATTATTCTTTGTTGTCTTAATTATTTTAAATAATAAGAATATTAAATAGAAATTTAAAGAGCTCAAATTGGCTTACCATATAGTGTTCAAATTCCATTTTTTCTTTCTTATCTAACTTTTTATTTGTATTGCTAGATAATCTCAATAAAACGCGAAGACACATAGCTTGTTGATCACTGTCTAACCAAGATCTTCTGGGAAAATAAAATGGTAATATTCTTATGCCAGGTACATAAGATTTATGTTTTTGCACATTATTCTTGGGTTCACAATTTTCTTCTTCGATATCAGTGGAGATATCTTCATTATCCTCGCAAAGGTATTGCTTAATCAGTTCCACATTAACTTCAGCGTACTCACATTCGATACCTTCAAATGGATCTTTAAAGTTATCATTCAAAATTTTATACATGGCACTCTCATTTTCCATCCTCTCATCATTAATAAATACATTGTCTATTAAGTCCTCCATCAAGGGATTCCTACAACAATGTGATTATAATCAGCAATATTTATATTATAAAAAAATTGATATTAAATACAAACAAATGTAAATTATAAATATGTTATAAATATTTATACATTAAATATTTAATAAAAATATAAAGATTTTTGAAAATAAAAATTGGAATATAAAGAGAGAATGACAGAAATGTGAATAAAACTTTTAAGAAACATGAGTAGAAAAATTGAAACATAAAATTGATGTTTATTTCTAAAAAATAAAGATTTGTTTTGTGTTTTGTTATGTTTATGTCCATTTATATGTATCAATTTATATCTATTTCTATATAGATTCTATATAGATTTAATCTCAATTTAATTCATTCTTTATCTTTTTTTGATTCCAAGAATTAAAAAAAAAGGAATAAAAGATTAAATAAAAATTAAAATTAATCTACGTTAATAAAAATAGACATTTAAAGCTTTGTTCATTCTTCTGTTATTTTCCCTCTTGTTACACTTAGCATTATTCTTTATTTTTACCAAGGATTTAACATAAGTCTTCTTATAAATATTATATATATATATATATATATATATATATTCTAATATCAAGCATGTTGATACACATGTTATAATGCGAGCATTCAATAATCATACAGAAAAATATCTTTAATCAAATAGAATCAGAAAGAGAAAAAGATGAAATACAGTCAAGACATCCTAATTTTATGAAAAAAATTGGGAAAATAATATAAAATTAATTTAATATTTTATAATAACAGAAAAATATAATTTATACAAGATGATTAAAAATTGATTTGTGTCATAAGCTAAAAGGACAGAGTGTTTGAGAACACCTTAAAGTTATCATGCAATAACGTACAGCAAAAAAACTATATTCAAATAACAGAATTATTGCAAAGTATATTTGTGACTGCAAATTTAAATGTATTGACGTCTAAAATTATTTCATAGAATTGTACACATACCAATCGATATTCCGGAATTTCTCCATGTTCAAATGATTCTGTCTTGCGGAAACGAAATAAGATTATTTCACGTCTTAAAATACACCTCTCAATCGTCAAGACATGTCGAGTTGCAAAAATTTTAGACTGAATCAATTGTGATCATTTTCTGTTGCGATTATATGATTATCTTTCATGATTTTCCTTCGTCTCGAACGCACGTGTTTTTACTGCTCCATGTGCACGAAATTTACACTTTGTTTTCACAGCTGATTATTTTCTTGAAGTTTATTTTCCGTTTCTGCACTAAGCTGCACTAAAACTGTCTATTTCACTTTTATCAAATTTCAAATATATTTATTTCATTTCAAATACGAATGTACTTACACTCTTTGAAATTTGTTCTTTTCAGCTGAATTTCTTTCATTTTTTTCCTTTTCTCTCCAACATGACATGCATCACGAGGAACTCTTGCGAAAGTGTAGAAAGAGCACATAAAGCTGCACTTGCGAGTCAAAAGTTATTTCTGTCAGCTGAATAAATAACAATATATATTTTTCTCTAAAGAATTTTCAGTTATTTTAATAGATATCCGAATTTACATGAGTTACTCCGATTGAAATCAATGATCTAAGGGCGCCAGTAGTCGCCTCTTGTTTCGCAAGGTCAGTGAAGTTACGTCAAAGGCGGCTGGAACTGTCATCTCGACAAAATGAATTTCGGAAGAGTGGCTAATATTAATATTTTTCGCAAAATTCGACAGCTCGGTAAGTCTCGCGTGAGTTTTCCAACAGTGTCGAGTGTAAACAAAATTCGCTTTACCAGCTGAATAAAATTTTACATAACCTCTATGGATATGGGAATAAAAGTTTACATAATCTCTCGATGAACGGAGGACATACGGAATCAATTTTAATTTGCTTTTCGTTTTCTGATAGAGTTTTGTATATTATTTGAAATTTTATTTGTATAAATTATATTTAATGTATTCATTAGTATTGTTTAGTTAATTTAAAAATAAACTTTAAAGTGAAATTATAATATTTGATTCTCTTGCAGAAACGTTGGTCAAGCCTGGTGGTTTACTCGTGCGGAGTTGTAATCCAACGCAATTTCCCAAATCCACTTCGAGTCTGGCGAATCTGAGCCGCTCTGTGATTCCTAATGTCCCTGCAAACAGTTATCCAAAATGTCATATTCTATCCAAGGTTGACAGAACAATTTTGTTCCTTTTCTACTTTTATTATTTCCATTTTCTAAAAAATATACTTTTCTTTGTCTCTTTTAGTTGTCTGTGCAATCGACGATCAGCATGACTCAAACTCGTGCGGCCAGTGCTCAAGGTCATGCACGTATGTGGCTGTTAGAGAGAATGGTGTCGGCATCTTTCTTGTTGTTAATACCCGCTGCCCTGTTTTTCGAAAATAAATTCATCGAGATACTTTTGGCAACTGCTATTGTCATGCATATGCATTGGTAAAACTCTTGAAGGATATATGAACTCTTCGGTTCATATATCCTTTTTCTTCTATAGCTAATCTCTTGTGTTCTGAAAAGTACATTTGAAAGAATAATTTTATTATACAGGGGATTGGAAGCTATTATACTCGATTACGCACGGCCTATCGTAGTGGGTACATTAGTTCCAAAAGTGGCATTTCTTATGCTGAATGTACTCTCTGCCGCCACTCTCGCCGGTCTGTTTGTGCTAATCTATAACGATCCTGGTCTAGCACAGATCATCAAAGAAGGCTGGGCAATAGGTAAAGATAAACGGATAACCAATTAAAATCATTTTTACATAAAAAAGTTTGTGTTACATATGAAGAACTTTTCAAGATGGTAGCTTATAAATTATTCCGAAATAAATTATTTACTTATTCAACAGTCTCACTTTCCTCTTTATGCTACCTAATACTTCCATATAAGATTCCAGTCAACGTCAAGTGAATAATATATCAAGGTTTGTAATTTGAGGTACGTGGACCAGAAAAAAGAAAAAAATAATTGATGCCATCAACATTTACTATGCTACAAATCAATAATAACAAATATATTTTTCTCATTATTGTCATTATCACGCATAATGAATATAACAGAGCTCTGAGAGATTAACGAAAAAAATCGAAGAGATTTAATTGCCAGTAGTGCTAGCGACTTTGTTTATGAAAGTCGCCAATTTCACATCCCTTTGGGATAATCCATTTACATCGTGAGATGACAAAGTAATATTTACTTTGTTATAAACATTGAACCATTCGGGATGATGATCCATCTTCTCAGCTTGTAAAGCTACCTTCGTCATAAACCCGAAGGCCTAGAAATTAAAGCATATTATCAAGTAAACTGAATAATGAGTAAAGTTATAAACTTTGATATTTGTACAACATACCTCATTGAAATTTTTGAATACAAATTCCTTGTAGATCGCATCCCTATTTGCTTGAACAGTCCATCCCGTTGATAGCAACGGACTCAAATTCTGCTCTCTCTCTTCCGGAGTTAGTTTACTCTAAGAATCAATATCAGCAGTCATCAAATTTCCATAAATTATCATACGTTTTTTAATATTATTTTTATATATAATTATAATCAGATATAATTCGACTATAATATCTTTTTATTCGCAGCATCTATTAATACTTTTATAAAAAATTTGTATCAATATCCTTGAAAATATATGCATATGCAAGTATGACAAGACTTGAGTAACAAGTGGCTAACAGTCACCATATCTTCACCGTGAAGGACTCATCCAACAGGTGGACTCGCATGTTTTAATTATTTGATTAAAATTATTTTTAACGTAAACAAGCTCGTAATAGATTCAACGAAGGGCTTACCATCTTGGCTTTTTTCACGACAACAGCGGATAAATCTCTGCGGTCCAGAATGCGCGATAAGCACTTTCGAATGTGCTCCCCTCCACTCGCTCGTCTGGTCAATACGGCTATCATGTGTCGAAAGCTCGTTCTTTATGTATAATTTTAAGATATCGAATGGAATTGTGATATCGCAATTAGACAGCGATAAACGACTTGTTATTTCAGAGCGAGCGGGAAGACAAACCAAGACAAACTAATTTCTAAACGATTCTCTAACCTCTCATTTTAAATCCTGCCGTATTGGCCTCGTACAGAGGTCAAGGATAAATTAAATGTAGATAGGAAATACTAATATGAGTAGTTCCGAAAAAGAAATAAATGTTTTCTCACATATTGTTATTCTCCGAATATGAGTAGGATTCTCTTCAGTAAAAGAATTTATTTTCATTTGAAATATACTAGATAGATGGAAATATATTAGATCAGGATGGATAGTACTATCAAAAAGATTATTCAACAAACAAAAATAAGTTAAAATGAAATGTTATGATGAAATGTTTTCGTATATTTCATTTCTGAAATAATCAAAATCTAAAAATTTGTTGAGTATGCATGCATCCAACTCCTGATGAATTTTATTATATGCAATTGTATTAATGATATGAATACATCTTATATGTATATATATATTTTTTTTTTTATGTACAATTCTAATAAAGCGCTTTTTAAACTTTTGAAATATAGAAGATACAATTAATATCTTTTTATCAAATCTATTAAAATCGAAGAGACTATATTGGAGTAAGAATCCAGAGATGTGTATTGAAAATATTTACATCTTATGAAGCATCAATATATTTTTATAACTGTACAAAATACATTATATATTTGTTTTTTTAGAAGTTTAGAATTAAAAAAATTAATTTATATTGTCACAAATACATTAAAATAATTTATAGTTTAATAAAGTTACTGATTAATTTTCAATTTTTTCTTTCCTTTTTTTACAAGAGACACTGGTGGTGGCAATGGAACTTTAAGCATGATGACCTTCTTATCATCTTTGGAGGCTGTCGCCCCGATGATTTTCGCGAGATCTGTCAATTTCTTTAAACTTGTCCGCAATTCCAGCATAACTCGAAATGATTCCAAGTCTAACACAAAGTTCGATATTGTGAGTGCGAGAATCAAGCAATGCACAAGACCTTTGTCTTTCATGCTGTTTGGTCTCAGTCTAAAAAAATTTCTTTTAAGTTTTAGTCTAATTAACAGTCAATTGCAGTCAATATTCACTTACCGTCCATTCGCACTTGGTATACTGTATGTATCAATTATATGTTGATTCACTTCCTCGGAAACCGAACATATGATAACATCACGTTTCTTCGCGTTTTTCAATGGCATGGAAAACCATACATTAACCATTTCAATGTAGAGTAAAAGGGCAACCTTATTCACATTGTCTGGATCTGATTGTATAGTTTTTAAAGTGCGTTTGAAAAATGTTCCTTTTCTGTATCAGAAAAATAACATTTAATATTGTATAATTCAAGATATTCGTTTAAAATTAATAAAATAATATAAATACCCTTCTACATCTCCGTTGAGTACTTCCATTGCATGCTCATATAATGTTTCCAATTTACTCTTTGGAATAATATCATATATGTTGTACACATCTTTGACATTATTCGCATTCCTGTTGCACACGGGCAGTATTTCACTCGAGGTACATTCCTCAGATTGTAACTGAGTCGATAAGTCTAATCTGTCAATTTCAACATCTACCAAAAGATATAATTTTATAAGTTCGCAATAATTGTACATTGCGTTGATATTAAGTCATACATAGTAATCGGATATTACTGAAACATCTAATTACATATTAATATAAAAAAGATTCTCTTACTTGATACAGTTTTTTCAAGTTGCTCTTTAACGGAGTCAACGTTCACTTTTAGCTTTTCAAATTGTTCAGTTCTACGTTTAACTTTTTTGGATCCAAATTGTTTGTTTAATATAATAATCTTTTCATCTACATCATTTTTATTATCCTCAACATCAGGTTTTTCAAGTACTGGAGTTACTTGCCACCGCTCAGCTTCAAATAATCGTACTTTGCCTGTCTTCTTATTGTGAAGTACTAGCATCGTCCGTGTCGACTCCTTCTTACAATCTGGCCTATGACCTTTGTAAACAATGTGACCATTTGATAAAGCTAATACAGTTTTGTCATTCTTCTGATCTCGGTACAAGCCACATGACATTTCCTTAACTTCTTCATCCTTAAGCTCACCATTTTGAAAATTCACTATATGACAAAAATTTTATTTATAAATAGTATATATTTTATTCTTAAATTAACAAATACAATTAGGTATATAATAATAAACAATAGAAATAGAATAAATATGACAATATTTAAATATATTTGTGACAGTTATGAAATACATTAACAGATAATTTTTTGATGCCTAAATAAAAGAATAAAAGAATAATATAGTTGAATATTACAAGATAATTAAGTTATAATAGCGGTATGAAAAACTCATGTTACGTTACCAATAATTGGCTGAATTTTGTTTGGTTGCACAATCACGCTTTCGATAATTGCTTTACGTTCATGCTTCATTTTTTATTTATTCACAAGTTTTACAGATATAATTTAGTTAATTACAGGGTACATCAATGTTGATACGTCTTGTTTTAACATATTAATCTATCCAAGCATGTTGCTTTTCGCGCGACATGTACATACAGGTTAGAATAGGTTAGAATCTCGATACAAAGGTACATTCACATTAGAAGAAGATAAATAGAAATTTCAGAAGCATCTCAGATGCGCACATTTTCAATCGGACACACTACCACATCAGCCGATATCTAGGAATTTTCTAGTGAGCCACCTATCAAAAATTTTTTTATTTAATCGATCAATCGGCAATGTGTCCGATTAGACCTCATCCGAAATTTCTAGAGCTAATCAGAAAATTCATTGACTGGGTTTAGAAAAAGCAGCTTTGAAAAATCTCTTAATATGATTGATTCTTCCTTTAGTTTGTTATTAAATCTAAATATATGAACCAATCACATTAAAGAATTTTACACAATTGCAAAGCTACTTTTTTTGCCAAACGCAACCATTGATAGCTGTTATATTTTGCTTTTTATTTTAATTTTTTTGCTAATTAGCTCTAATTTTATTTTATTTTTTTGTAAATACAAATTAGATCAATGCAACTTTCAAATCGAAGTATTATTCCATTCGGCTAGTATTTCATGTGCCGTAAATTTTCGATCGAATTGATTGATTACAAAATAAAGAATTTGTTAATAACTTATAAATTTCATTAGTCTATCTGTAATCACATGAATAAAAAAATTGTGTACGACGCATAAATGACATTGAAATATATCAAATTATAATAGCTATCTTGCTTTATCTTAAGACCTGTACACAATGAAGCAAATATTAAGAACAGGAATAAATATTAAATTTTGAAAATTAAAAATTCGGAAAAAAATTAAATGTAATGCACAATGAAATATAAATAAGTATAAAATATAGTCATATCTTACACTTATTTTTATTCACTGTGCGTTAATTTTTATTCTGAATTTTTATTTCTAAAACTTAATATTTATTCCTAATATTTTCTCTATTGTACGCACGCCCTATCAATCTTATTTATACCTTTTAACTTCATTACTATAAAAGTATATTTTAAGTATATACTTATATTATATACACTTTATATTATTATTTTAATATTATTTATGTGAAAATGTATTAAAATAATATACAAAATATTTTATAAATGATTTAATAATAATTTATAAATTATTTTATAAATAATTTACTTTATAAATTACAAAATATTTTTTAATTAAGTTTTGATAACTTAATTCTGGATAATTAGAGAAACTCGGTTATGAAAGAAGAGCCACGTGATTTTATGAAAAAAATTGATGATGTCATAAGAATAATATGAAAAATATACTACTTGGATCGATTAAAGTACTATTTTTTTAAAAAAATTGATGGTAATTTCTTTCCTTGAATTATCATATAAAGTTTCCCCGCAAGGTGTACAACTTTTCAACGCAATTAATGACTCGTTACATTCAGTAGTTTCATAATTTGTCTGAGTACATAGTTTGTTTGAGTACATAGTTCATAGTTTGTCTGAGTACATTGCATAGTGCGTTGTCGTTTGCCGGGAAGTGAATCACAGAATCGAACATAGTACTGACTTATTTTATCATTGCCTTTGATTTACACTTAATTATAAGCACTAAAAATAATATTTCATTAAATTTATAAATTATTTTCATGATTCATACGTGATTCAAATTGTTTTAATATTTTAATAATTTGTGGGAAAAAATTTAATAATTTGTGGGAAAAAAATGATAAAGAAATAAGCTTTCTCTCTCTTTCCTGAAAATTATATTGCATGTCAATAATTCAAAACTGATACGCATTTTTTTGCATATGTTACTAAATGAAGATCATTCACTAGATTTCTATCATTTATATATAAATATTTGTGTGTTTCATCATATAGCATATATATAATATTAATATTAAATATAAATAATATATTTAAATTTCTTAATTATTTTTCACTCATCTGTTAGAGCAATTATTAATTGTCAATACATATAACATATAGTGCCGCGTGCACTATTGAATAGTAATCATTTTAAATAAAATTTTCCAAATATATATA